GTCAAAAACAAGGAAAAAAGCCCCTCTATGATAATGCAAATTTCCTGCTCGCACCCCTATGGGATTCTAGTAGTGTTATTCTAGTAGTATAATTTAAATGAACACTTTTAAGCAGTTTCAGTTTAAATGCATGACATTGTAAAGGTATATTTGAGGCTATTTTAAGCTTGTAGCAGACATATTAACATATCGCTGTTGTCGGAAGAAAATCTTGTATTTCCAAAATGACACTTTTACAAGAGAAGGAAAAAACATACTTTACTTTTAATGTAAGTCAATGGAAATACACTTTTTTCCAAGTCATTTTGGATCAGTTCTGAAGTTATGAAATTTACACACAACGAAAAAAGTAACAGGCACTTTCAAATGATGTCAAAAACCGAAAAACGTCAAAAATGGAGATACGAGGTTTTCTTCCGACAACAGCGGTATTTTTCACCTTGCAGTAGTTTTACAGTGACTACATCAGCAAAGAGCCACAGCATAGAACTGCCACTGTTTTCCATTCCTAACAACTAATTGAGACTGGTTCCACACGATTGGTTGATTCCACTGTCACTTCTTAATTACATTAGTGGTTAATCTGACACATTAGGCCTTCAGTTCAGCTCCTGAAGAACTAACCAATAGGAGAGCTTGCTTGGCTGTATCTACCTAGATACCGCATAGAAAAAAATCTGGATTTGATCATTTTCCATTGGGTGGTTCAAGAATTTAACCCTTTAATTTAAACTAAGAAATAAGAGAAATACTACAATAGTTGCAGAGTTTAAATACAAGCATAATGATTCTGATAAATAAAAATGAGCCAACAATTACAGACATTTTTTTTTATTTCATAGAAATCATTGATCATTCTGTGAAGGCCTAGGAGGCCCTTGCGTTCCCCACTGCTCCCAAGCATGCATGCGAATGACTGCACTACTGCTGAGCATGCATACAAAACAGCACTACTGTAGTTCCAAAGAGGATTTAAACATGTTGACCAACCTAAATGTGTATGTAACCAATCTCTCTGCTTATGTGTGGTGAAGCTATGAGGCTAATATAAGAGAAGTCCCAGATTTTTTGGTGCCAATTACTTTTTAGCTACATTAGCATTGTAGCTCCAGTGCAAAACTAAAGAAGCAAGCTTTAGACACTAAGCATGTCTCGGCCAATCAACTATATCTGGAGTAAGGAGAAAATTGTGTGAATTTGATTCTTGGCGAATCATTTCCTTAAGATCTCTATTATCAACATTGGTGGCATAACTACTATCGTAGGGGCCCCTGCAAAAAAAGGGACACACTATATGAAAATGACTTTCAGTGAATAACAAAATGGTAATTTGCTTATTTGTTCACTGTAGTTGTCTCAAACATGTTGATGCTCTCAAGGCATGCCACTCTGCCCACTAGCATCATTAATCTTAATGTTTACGTTAGACTACTTATTTAAGATTTACACATTATAAGTAATAAGTATATACTATTCCAAAATTGTTACCATGGATGAGATGCATTGTGAATAAGAGTAAGATAAATCCATATTCCGTCCATATTTGAGATTTTCACACCAATTAGCCTTGGATGTATTGGGAGTTCTTCCGGTCTCATTAAAAATGTACAGCTACAGGATAAATATAGAACTAGGGCAGTAAAATTGCAAGAGATTTGTGAAAAGCCCCTTCGCCAGCTGTCAGATTAAACCATCTCCTTTGATGTTTGGTAAAAGTGACCACTGAATGGAGGTGCTGTAAATGGCCTGATGTACAGCCCACCCTTTTTCCAAGAATCAATGTTGGCAGTCATGCTTGTTTGCATAATTTACACCGGGACTGAGTGCGTTAAACGAACAGGCCTCCATGTAAATTTTTTACCAGACAGATGATGTGAACTCTCTCTGAAAGGAGGAAATGGCTGCAGGATGGCCGGCACATGGGGAAACGGGGAACACGTGGGGGCGGATGGGGGCAAGGAAGGGGGCCTCCACGGTAGAGTATGACGGGAAAGTTACTACATCGTGGGCGCAGGGTGCTACTTTTAGTGCCTGATTGGAAATGAACAGAGCTGTCATGTGACGTCACTGGCTTCGCCGGCCGCACAGAGGGGAGACCACGTGACTCCTACTGACCGTCTGGATCAATGATTAGATTACAGAGAGCAGAGGGGAAGGTGGGAGGGAAGGGTGTGTGTGTGTGTGTGTGTGTGTGTGTGTGTTTGTTTGTGTGGGTGGGGGGGGGTATGGTGGGTGTTGGATGTGTGGGGGGTGTAGGGGAGTGTGGGGGAGCATGTAGGGTGGGGGCAAAGGGATGAAATGTGAGTGAGCCTTGCGATCCCCGCGCCACGTTCCGGTTAAATTAGCTGCACGTGGGACGCTGCTAATCCCATCCAAACAGGGATTGTCGAGGAAGAGCGTGTGGGGTAAATGCGTGTGGGCAGGTGAGTGGGCGGTGGATAATGAGTGCATCTGGAGAGCAGATACCGGAGACCAAGTAGCATTTGACACTAAAAAAGAATCCCCTTGTCTTAACACATTTCCTGGTACTGCCAGTGGTGTCTTAATGAACTGAAATGAAATATTCTTATAGGCCGCTCTGAATCACGGTTATTGTCCTTTGTTCTCATTGTCCACTAAATACTGTAAAGCTGTCTGAAATGCCTGTAATTTGGAGGTCTTGGCAGTTGGAGCGTCTTTTGTTCAAGGCTTCGAGATGAGGATGTTAGCGTGAGCTGTTAACATTAACAATCCTGCAAGCAGAGGCATATAGCCTTCCAAAGAATAAATTTTCATTTGTTGTTTTCGTCCCTGTGACTCACGGCACAGTGCCTCTGTTCTTCTCATCATTTCCTTGTTTTATTTATTTGACACTGAGATGGTGGGCAGCATGTGGTGTCTGTCATTATCTCTTTATCTGATATAGCTCTTTAGGTCCGGAAAATGCGTTATGCATAAAGCCTACATTCCCACAATGTTCATCAAGCCTTGTGTATAAACTTCCTGTCGGTGAGCTTGTAAACCACAGCCCTTGCCTGACGCAGGTGTGCCTATACATGCTCCTTTATGATTCAAGGAGAAACAGCGGTGGGCTGACGGTTATGTCAGACTTCTGTGGCTCGAAGCGGGCTGTAAGAATTACTTCGATGGATAAGAATGCTGTTCACCCACGAATGAACACGCCCGTATGTGACCCACACAGACTTTATGCCTGAAATATGATTTTTCTAACTTCCTCAATGTACTCAAAGCAGAAACATAAATATTCAAATCTGACATGTATGGATGCAGATGCCAGGCTTTTGGTACAGATAGAATCTCTTCAATTTTGTTCCCTGGTGAGAATGCAGCTGATTACATCCTATGGGAGCCCTGGCTACTGATGGCAAATAATGGAGCTGACCATCTCAATTTCATCTGAATTAAGACAAATGCTTGTGCACTAGTAGACTGACTCATGAGAGACCAAAGTACAAGTACAAACTCGCACTCTTTACATTCACACCATACGGAAAAAAAACTACATAATGCAAAATGTAGCTAAAGTACACTAAAGTACATTAAGCAAAAAAAAAATGCACATTTGACACATATTGTGTTATACAAAAAATAGTGATCATATGGAATATATTAATTTTCTTCACCTCTCCAAAAACTTAATTCACTGAGAAGATGGTTTAAGATTGTGCTGATTCACTTTGTAACATTTAAATCAAATCAAATCAAATCAAATCAAATCAGATTTATTGTCACATCACAAGAGTACAGGGACACAGGTGAGTGAAAAACTTGAGTGCGAGTTCCACAAATTATGCAGAGAACAGTATTTACACATAGATAAACAAAACTATAGATAGGATAGAAAAAAAGAGTTAAAAACAAACACAAAAACAACAAAAAACTGCAAAAGTAAGCGGGAGCTCGCAACACGGCAGCCATACTCGGCGCCATCTTGGAATCAATGTGGTATTAAGACAACCGTTATGAGATATTGTGTTATATTCATTTGTAGCCAGTGGCAGAAGACCAGTAACTTGGCTACTTGATTTTGGTTTGAGTCAGGTAGAGGACCTAAACATTATATTAATAAGTAATAATCTAAACACTTTATACAACACAGTAATAATCCACAAAAAACTATATTTTACCTACACAGTTAAAAATGACGGTTCTTCAAGGGTTCTTTAGTAAAGAAAATGGTTCTATGTAGAATCATGAACACTCAAAGAACCGCTTGTATGATTAAAGGGCTCTTTACATGGTGAAAGGGTTCTTCAGATTGATGGAGAATGTCCTGTAGATGGTTTTATATAGAACGTTTTTGAAAAGGGTTCTATATAGCACCAAAAGGGTTCTTCTATCGTAACAAGCCTGACATGGTGTTACAAAGAATCATTTTCTTTACTAAAAACGGGAAATGAGGTCAGTAAATATATGTATACGTATAGCCTGACCTCATTTCCAGTGAAAATGATGCGAAATTCAAGCTCATTCGCACCGCTTGTGATGTCATCACATCTTTTGATTTATATTGTTAACCTGCATTGTGACGTCACTGTAGTAATTAAGCCGTTGTTTATCGCCGTGTTCTTGTGTATCCAGGAAATATGTTTTGCTGCACTGGTTGCCTAGCGTCGTTTTTTTCTCTCTCTCTCATATATGTCGTCATAACTGGTTACGCCTCTTCCGTACCAAAGGGCGTTCTCTTCTTTTACTAGGCTACTTGTTAAGGTGGACCTGTTTCCCGACAGGGAAATGACAAATGACAAAATTCTCTCACACTCAACTCTAAAGTGGAAATAAAACGTCATTACATTCTTATAACGCGCTGATATAGGCTTCACGTTTTATTACAGGTCCTCGGACATGTTAACTAGGCGTACACTGTGGCTGTACACAGCTCGCATTTGAGCTCGCCACCTTAAGTCACACGCTGACAGCGCAGTAATCGCTCTCTCCGCCCACTCTGCAGGGAGCCTAGTAGAGAGCTGTCTTACCTCAACTCTAACCTTAGGAATACACTCGTCTGTTAAGTCACAGCGAGCCGAGCAAGCAGGCTGGAAACGAGCCGGAATACCGGCGTTCATACGGACTGATATAAGAGGGAAAGCTGCTCAACCACATCGGCATCGTGACGCTGATTTATAACACTGCAGCCATTTGTGGACAGAGTGGATATAGGCTGTTGTCTTGGATCTGTGCGAGTTACAGTTTAGCAGATTTCCACTCAATACATGCCAAAACTGGGGAATCTTGAGGATTGTGAAACTTTGTCGCGGAACTTTGAGGTTTTCGCCACTATAATTGGTAAGTTTGACTGCCAGTGCTACACTTGATAGATTGGAAAAGTGCTTAAATGCAAACGTGGATGAAAAAAACTAAATAAAACGGCTTCAACTGCTTTGGTGTGGCTGGGCTGTTAACAGGCTGTATCACACCCAGCTGAGGTTAACGAGCTCACACACACACACGCAGTTGAATTTCTCAGAAAAAAAACTTTGTGTTGTGCAGCAGCTTTAAGGCTTGCATATCTGTATAACCTCTTCATGAGTCCATTTTCAGAAAACCCCCCTTAATGTAACTATAACCGCTGAATCCAGAGAGTTTTTAAAGCTGTTGTTTTCAATAATAAAGTCTATTCTGCAAATCTATCCTGATTTCGGGGAATAGTCGTACAGTGTAGAGGCGATCTAGATCATGTGTATCATGCTGTGACTTCCCAGTCTCCATTGCCTATCTGTCCATCTGAAGACTGTGGCGTAAACACTCTTATTTAAATATGACGAAGACGACAGATAAGACCCGCGCTGTTCGCAGTTTCCTGCTGGACTGAGCATCAAAGATGGGGCTGAGCGATGGACTGACCGCTGAGAAACACAGGGGCTATAAACTGGGTTTATTTTAGGATTAGAGTCGTATACCTTCTCTGGCCACTGGTGGGCGATCGAGTACCTGTTCTGCTTTCGTGAAACTCGGGATACGAACTGCTTTTTGTCCACAAGGTAATCGGACTCAAGCCCAGCTTCATTACAGCACTCAGTTGGAGCCATTTCTCAATTTAATGTAGCCTAAATTTATACAGTGTATTACTTTCTTTAGCGCTTTGTATCATTTAAGTAGCCGGTTCGGTGTGTACAGGTGTGATACATGATAGAATAGATTCATATCCTGCACACTTGGTTCATTAAGGGTTCTTTAGTAAAGGCAATAGCTGGTTTTTGCATTGCGAATTCTATACAGAACCATTTCGTGCTTAAAAGGTTCTTTGCATGGTGAAATGGTTCTTCAGATTGGTGGAGAATGAGAATGTGTTCTGTATATCACCAAAAAGCTATCTTTGCTAACCTTGTAACAATAGCAGAACCCTTTTTGGTGCTATATAGAACACATTCTCATTCTCCACCAGTCTGAAGAACCATTTCTCCATGCAAAGAACAACTCAGGCATGAGATCTGGTTCTTAATAGAACCTTTGCCTTTACACAGGAACCCTCGTTTTCAAGTGTGTGCTTGTTTTGACTATATGGTGGCCAAGTCCATATCAGGCCAGCACTGGACTAAGGACACTTGGCAGGCGACACTGTTCAGTGACGTGAGGGTGAAATTTTGCTGCCCTCATTTCAGTGACGAATGCTGAAAATGCCCTTTACACTGACCTGTTTGAACCGCCAGCGTGATCCCTGCCATCTTTGCAGCCTAACTATAACTACAGAGGGCTCTCCTCATTGTGTTCGGTGTATCCTACATTGGCATTGTGTCTGTTTAACTGCTCTCCTGTCTGCAGGTCAGGATTACGGCTACGCAGGCTTCAGTTTTAGCACGACGACAGCATCTGTATATGCTGCTGAATGTAACAACAGAAACAGTCGAGCTTGTGCTGGGTTCCCTTTTGTTATGGTAGCAGTTTGCATTATGAATGGTGTAGCAGTGGAGGGCGGAGCTTGGCTGTTCCTAAGCCGCTCAAGCCCCGCCCACTCAGACGCGATTCGTCCTCAATGAGGATAAAAGACGTAGTTTAGAGGGAGGTGTCGGAGGGAGGGGGGGTGTAGGCGGGGCATATCCTCCACGTGAGTGTCCACGTAAGGCTCCGATTGGCTTGGGGTAATGACGTCTTCGCCCGAGCTTCCTTGGATTGGTCGGCGGCGCAGGAGGGCGTGGGTGGAATCGTAACACGGTGGCAGCGAGGTGCATTGTAAAGTGGGGGAGGGAAAAAAAAGCTCATTTTGATGCCGTTTCGGCGGAGCTCGGCTTGCGGGAGGTGCTTAGGCTCTGGCTGTGTGTGCAGCTGCCTGTACGGTCTATCGAAACCGACAGCGGTTAAAAGCGGAGTCCGGAGCGCGCAATGAACGGTCTGTTTTGCGCGACGCGCGCGCACTCGTCGTGTTTTATAGGCAAAAAGAAAGAACAGGGGAAAAAAGGCAGCCAACGGTGAAGTAATCCGGATCGTCTCCTGTGGACATCGACGCGCTCGCAGAACGGGAATAGGTGCTTCTGAGGAATACTGGTGCCTTTTATCCGCGCGCTGGAACGGCAAAGGGAGCCATAACGGTGTCGTCAGAAAAGCAACGGGACCGGTAGCCTTTTTTGGAGGGACACTGAGCCTGATCTCTCTCTCTGTCTCTCTCTCTCTCTCTCTCTCTCTTTCGTCTTGCCACCCTCCCGTTACGCGCAGGCTACCGAATGGAGCAGCAGCCGAGCGCGCGGAGTTGCGCGAGCCGCGGAGCTCCGTCTTGCGAGGCCGTCCCGGGCGAGCCGCCTATCAGTTTGCACATTCAGTCCACGACGGGCACGCGCTTCGAGCTGTCCCTTCCGGCCGAGGAGACGGTGGAAGGGCTGAAGAGGAGACTGTCTCAGAGACTGAAGGTGCCCAAAGAGAGACTCGCTCTGCTGCACAAAGAGACGTGAGTATTCATTCCCTTAGTTGTGTAGGTATATAAGCACGAGCCTACGTTCCCTTTTTATCTTTTTCTTTCTTTTCCATCTCATGCGGTTTTTAAAGGTAAATAGGTCAGATGTGATTTAGCACGGGAGCCTTGAAGCTTATAGTAAGTGGCTTACAGTGCTCGCTATGGTGGGCATGTTTAGCCTGTATGTGGTTCATGCACTGTATTGAGCCTTTGAGACTATCTGAGTATAGTTGCATGTATCTTATAGCACAAAAGCACTCCTTAAAAGTGATCATCTGATTGTATGTTGTTTTGCTGAGGGAGTTAGGTTGGTCTTTGTACCCAGTGGGCTGAAATCCCACTCACTAGGGTGAAATTTAAATGAAAACAGTTGCATTTATCATCCACTTGCATATACTGTGGTATATTCTTTTGCACTGGACCTAGAATTAAGGCCCAGCAATTGGTATGCATATTGCATACTGCATAGTGCCCTGATTCGGCTGCATGGATCTCTCAATTAGACTAAGTGTGGCTTAGCAGATGTCATTTTAAAGTGGAAGCAGGACAATAAAGGTGCCCCTATGGAGGCTCACAATGATGTGCTAGAATATTCCTCCCTAATGTTGAAAAGGGGGGCAATGTTAGTTTCAGCGAGCTCTTCTGCCTGCCTAACAATAGCACAAAGGTGGTAGGACTGGGAGGAGAGCGAGAGAGAGCCTCTTTGTCACTTGCAAATGACCCCTAACAGTTGCATTGTTTTCGCCTTGAATCAGGCCAATTTAACGACCTCCGCGAGTAACCACCAAATTACATCATCCTCTAAAACCAGGGGCTCCTGCTTAATGTCTTCTTCTTGGTTTAGGTGCCTCCAGGCAGCGCACTGAGTCCCTTTGTTCAGCAGGAGGTGACATTTAGCCCTAGCCACATGTCTGTATGTGTACATCAGCAGTTTGGGGGTTGCCTTGCTGCATTGCCTAATAATAGAGGATACATTAAAAGCCTTAGCCTTGTTTTTGAAGTGTTTTCCATAGTTGTAATAAATCCAAGGTTGCATTTTGCTGTGTTTTACAACTTAATCAAAAATAGCAGTTTAAAGGTAAGGTACTGCTGCATTTATGTTTCATAATCATAAAGTAAGGTGACAGAAACTGTGTCTGGCGGCAGAGTGAATACATTTGCATGGCCAAGTTGCTGATAAGCCGCCAGTCATAGTTTGATAGCACTATCTGTCAGCAAGTACAATGTTTACAGTGTATCATGTGCATGCGCGAATGTCACGTAATAACATAAACTTTATTCATACATTTTGAATTTGACTGGCATTGAACTGGAGAAATGAGTAATCTATTTTCACCTCGTGAGATTTCCAGCGCTCTCCGAATGCTTATTTGAGTTTCCATCGTCTCTGCAGGCGCCTGAGTTCAGGGAAACTTCAGGATTTGGGCATTACAGACGGGAGCAAGTTGACTCTCGTCCCGACGGTTGAAGCAGGTCTAATGGTAATGATTGCGCTGACTTCATGCAGCAGACACTTTTTTTTGACGCATGCACAGTCTGAAAGCGTTGTCCAGAGAAACTGAGTCTCAATTCTCTTTTCCTTTAAGTCTCAAGCATCAAGACCCGAGCAGTCAGTGATGCAGGCCTTGGAGAGTCTGACAGAAACGCAGGTAAGAAGTCATGCATGTACTAAAGATAAGGCAGCTGTGCTTGAATAGATGGATGTATATGTGTAGCTAAACCTCAACACTCTTAGTATGCATATTTTAAGAAACACCCTCCAGTTTCCTGGCAACATCTCTGAGCTGAGACAAGCTAGGGCAAGCTCCACCTAGCACCCACTTCAATAAGACCCCAGTCCTCTTTGAAGGCAAGCATATGCTCCCAGAGTCGGGTTGCTGTGAAATACAACCAGCGAGCTCACTTTTATTAACTGTTTCAGTATTAATAATGATACAGCTTTTCTGATTTGCTCATTTACAGTTGAGGCCTGTATTGTGCTTTGGTGCTAGCTGGACAATATTTTGGCTCTGGATGCAGACAGTATTATTGGCATTCCATGTTGTAAATAAAATTAGGTGGAAATGAATGCCAGCTTCTCATTGTCTGTTCTCATTTAACTCAGTCACTCTCCAGCAGGTGTATATACACTGGAGATCCTTGTTTTGTATGTATGTAAGAGAGAGCAAAAGAGCCTATAGTGATGACAGAGCAATAAGGTTGTGTATGAGCGAGAGGAGGAGGGAGGTTTTGTGTGTGTGCTGGGGGTTGGCAGGGGAGTGCACCATTCTTCTCATGCTGCACGCTTTCTCACAGCAGCTGCAGTGTCGTCTGTTTCCTAAAGAAAAGCTTTTCATATGGCTCTGAATGCAGCCCTGCTCTGGCCCATGGCTTCTTCCAGCAAACTGCTAGCCGGAAACAGTTTCTGAGCTGTCGTAATGACTTGTTGGTTCATTTATTATTTGTTGTGATGCATTTCAGTTGCTTTTTTTTCTAGGAATACCTTTACAATATGCTGTGTCAGTTCAGTTCTTAGAACATGCTAGTTATTTTGGGACTGAATGGCTATAAATAGAGGGGTATGAGTAGCTTTTGACAAAAAATGACTCTTGACTGAACTCAGTGTTCAGTTCCGAGATGAGCGCTGGGTCAAACCCACCCACCCGATTATGCGGTTGATTTGTATGTGTACGTGTGTCACAGAGAGCAAGCAGATCAGGTTGATGTGCTCGGAACCACACTCATAGAGTTACAGCAGATAAGGCCACCATTTAGCAGTGTCAGTATTCCAAGGGCTTTAGCCGCGGAGCACTCGGGTAGCTTCCTGAGAAAGATCTATCTTAGACTTCCATGTAATGAGATGGAGAGTGTTTGATGGAAAAGGACGACTGGCAATTATTGGGATAGTATTTTCCCTTGTTACTGCAGCTCTGTAATTTGAGGCTGCTGTGGTTTTACATGTCTTAGCGACGTCTCATGTTTTTTTTTCCTCCCATCGTTGTTAAATAGGAATCCGAACCAAGGCAAAGGAAAGGGAATCCGAACCGAAGCATGTAGTACTGCGCTTCCAACAGGATTCAAATTAGTGTTGTTCATCCTTCCCCACTGCAAGTTGGGTATCAGTTTAAATGACCTCACAGCCCATAGATATCAGCAGATAAATAAGGAGATCTAAAAGCAAGTGCATAACAGTTTTAACGTCAGTCTCAATGACCCTCCGGTAGAAATAATGACCAGTGTCACATTCCCCCAAGCTGGAGAGTTCCCTAATTGGCAGTGTCTGTGCTAACCTGCCTCTGAAAGCAGGTGCATCACTCTTTCTGTCCTCTGGGAATAACAAGGCAGTTTGTCTCTCAAAACTGCTGCATCTTCCCAGTCTCACTGTTCTTCGCAGTCACATATTCCTGTCATAACTCCCCACCTGCATTAGTGACAACCACCGTCCCTCTTCAGAGCGTGTCCACACTGAGCCAGGGCTTGTCATTGTGTCTGAAAACGGACAGATGCAAATAGTGGGATCTAACAATGTAGGACGAGTCACCTCTCCGTCACCCCTCTCGTAATTCCCACCCCCTCCCTGGCTGAGCGTGAGAGGGAAGGCGAGGGGAGGGGTCGGATGGGATGGATATTGTCAGCAGGGAGAGCTGCCCTTTCTGATGCCCCTACTTGGGTTCTCATGGAGAGTATATGAGATTACCAGTAAGGACAGCGATGACTCAGAATGCTCTATATTGGCAGGAGATAAAAATAGGGAGGAAGACACAAAAGGTTTCAGTGACGTGGCCCCCCGCTGGACAGCGATGACTTGTACAGCAATTAAAACGAAATGACTGTCATCAGAAATCAGAACGTAATGCAAATTTGTGTTATATGATCAGCTGGCGCAAGGGATGGCGTGGTTAACAGGAAGAGAGATTTGTTTGCGTTCTCCTGATCGGCAATAAATAGAGAAAAGGGGTGTGTACAATTGCAAGCTTTTATTCTAAAAAAAAAACAAAAACCTAAAGGTTAGACAGGCGACCACTCTGATTCGTGACTGGCATGTCTCCCCCTCCTTTTCAGCCACTTTAACTGAAGGACGTGGTTTCGTGACTAGGCTTATTTGCAGATAAGGTTGGAGTAGTCACAAAATATTGGCTTATAACAAAACCACTGTTTTGCTGTCCAAGGAAAGGTTTTCTCTCACAATAGCCTTTTAGCATTTGAACTAGCAATGGCATGGCATTTAAATGCATGTAAATATATCTATGAAATACAGCTGCGCCTCACTATTATGGATGTGTGAAATAAAAGTCTCTTATAACACAGTCTCTCGCCTATTTGAGCCAGTTCAGGCTGAGTAAGAAGGTGTTGAGCCTTCACAGTTCATGTTTCTGATCACACAGAAGGCAGAACGCGAGGGAGTGGGGGAGGGAGGCAGGGAGGGAAAGAGGACCCAGCAGGAGTTAAGAGCAAAGTCTAAGTGGATTGCTTCTTTGTAGCCCTTGAAACACCTCAAAGCGATTTGATTGTTTGGTTCAGATCGGATATAGAAAAGAAGGTTTTGTTTTTGACAGAAGCTTTAGCAGGCAGCCCATCAGGCATGCCACTCTGGATTTGGAAATCATTCAGCTGATCAAATCCAGCCATCGCCCGCTGGACCTTCCCCATTCCTAACCATCTCTGTCTCAGCCAGACCTTGAGTAGGTCAGCGTCCCTTCAGTGAAATCTTTGAAGATGGTGTTCTTTTCAAGATTCGGAGAAAGATGCAAGCCATTGATTATTTTACAAGGGCTTTTTATTGCATCCTGACCCACTGAGCCTCTCTGTGGAGACTATATCAATAGACCCCTTAAGCGATCAAAACCTGCTAGTCAATGCTAGAGGTTAATAAGGTAGTTTTGAACTTTCTGCACTGACCTAGTCTTAAGACTCGATGACGGGCACTTTCTGTTTATTTGAAAGGGTTAGTCTTCTGATTTGACCGCTTCGGCCACTCCATTAGGGATTGAAGTCATTGGACAGTGGGCGAATGGCACTGTTCTGTTGTTCCAAGCTCCAGCTCTTGGCCTAGTGTGCCGCAAGTAGGAAAGGCTGCAAATGAGTTCCTTGAACCGCAGGGACCCTGATACATACACACTGTTAGCCTCTGAGTTTGGGGGGGTGGGGATGAGAAGCCAGAGGCATACTCTCACTGAATATTTCATCACCATCCAGCAGCATCTCCACTCTGCTGCCACCCCCGCCCCCTTCTCCCGCAACTGAGCACCACCCCCCTGCCTGCCCCCCGTCTTCCTTTCTCTCTCCTTCACTCGCTCTTCACTGCATAGCAACCACAGCCCACTGCTGAGCAAAATGCCACTGTAACAAAACAAGAAAGACAGTATGACAAGTAAGGAGAGGTTAGCTGTAGGTCCTTAGAGGTTAAGGATAGTCCAAGCAGAAGCACATATGGAACCATAGTACTCACACTTCTAGAAACTGCCTTGTGTCACAACACTGTCTAGCTTTAGTCCAGCCTTATTTCTGGCCTTTTGGAGAGCGAGGGTGGAAGATACAGGTTGGGGCCCTTTTTGAAGGTCAGACGAGTTCAAAAACATTTTCATGCCGTCGTTTTAGAACGCTCCATCAGAGCACGATCTGTCATCTCTGGCCAGAGGACCGAAGTCAGTGGCCTTTAGAACAAAGAGAAGTGTTTAAACAGAGCTGTGGCGGTCGCTTTCGAGCGCCTGACCCATTTCAGGTGCTGCAGGCCGTCGCTCTAGATGCTACAGGCCAACGGGGGCATATACATCTTCTCTTACACCCATGAAGTCAGGGCTGACTCTAGCCACAGGTCACATGTGTTTTCCTCGTCTTTTTTACTGAAAGGAAGAATGCTGAGGTCTAGTAGCTGACTAAGATCATTCTTGGACAGCTACTGCGTGTTCTCCATGATGGATTTCTAATGTATTTTAGTTGGTTTCTATTTTCCATCCATTGGTGAAGACCCTACATTTGAATAAAATCTGTGGTCTTTGGTTGCTGGTGGCTGTAATATCAGCAAAGTCAAGAGAAGGCAGTTAAAGAATAAACTCATTGCCCTGCAGCGGTCATTTGTTTTTTTTGTTTTTTTTATATAAGAGAAGCATGTGGTGGGCGATGTATTGACAGTCTGACTCTGAGTCAAGCAGCGGACTGCTGTGGGGAATGTCTCTGCCGCCTGCAGACTGCAGATTGTCCTCGCCTCTCAGGGCCACTTTTACTGGTTGGTTGGGGTTAGCGCACTCTCTCATTATGTGGGTAGTGTCTGGGCCTTGCGAATGAGTCAGTGTGACTCTTTGGCTTGGGGGGGGACTGATCTGTGAAGCTAATGCGGGGTCTGCTGTGCCCACTCGTCGACTCACAGTCCCAAAGCATGGTGTTCCTCGGGGGCTTTGCGCCAGAGCCACACGTTCTGATGCGGAGGCTTTGCCTCTCGCCTCAGAAAAGGTTATTCATATAGCTATTGCAGGGACTTCTCTCCAGTGCCTGAACCGTGTAGGCTGATGCAAATCAGTATTACAGTTTACCTGACAGCTGTCAATCAGTGCAGGGATCCTCTCTGCCCACCACGTGGGGTGACTCATTGTTGACCTTTGCATGGAGTTTCCCACAGACCCCATTTCCTATAGAGTCTCATGTTCAAAACATAAGCTTTATTTCAAAATATGTGGATGAAGTTTTGATTAGTGTGGACACATTATCAGTTACTGAACATCCATGACTTTAGGGATAATGAAGATGCAAGGAGAGCCTCTCTGTCTTAATTCCTGGCTCCTGTGGTAAAGGTCACTCGGCTGCTGAGAGTAAATTGTTGGTGGAAAAATAGATCAGCCAATAAGCCAACTGCAAAACCAAATTGTTCTCTTGGAGAAGCTGTCTTATACAATTTGTGCATATAGCCCCTCTGCATAAACTGTGTTCTCACTTGATATCAACAGCAATGCAGTTTATTTAAATTGAGATCAACATTTTTAGAACCTCTGTAGTGTTCTATTTGGTATGGTCCTTTCTGGTGGCTTTTTATTTAACATCAAGTAGATTTCTCAGTAGGTTTGAATGCACTGGAGCCACTATTCTCAACCCAATGAAGGAAGCCTTCAGCACTGGTTAGGCACCTCTTCTCAAAAGCAGGGAGATTCAGGGTTACTCATTGGTTCTTTAAAAAGCTGCACATGGTGTTCATCATTTTGAAACATCTATCTTGCTATAGTAGTTAGAGGTGACTTTCCAGCTAACCTAAGCAGATCAGAAAAGTAAGAATAAGGGATCTTTACCAAGACTGTCCATTTAAGGTGTCTCTGTCCTCCTACCAAACCAGTAAGTGGCAGCTGTTACAAAGAAAGCCTGAGGCAGAGACGGGACAAGAGGGAAGTTGTTATGAGTGTGCTTGGGGAGCCAAGTCAAGACAAGCCCTGTGTGCTTCTCTTCCTGATTTGTAGGGGTCAGAGCCCCCATGCTTGGCTCTGCTTCCCATTCTGGGCACTCCTAAAATGGGCAAGCCTTCCAGATCCGTCCCAGCCCCTCAAACAATCGGCTATTATGCGGCTGCAAGGCGAGTGGGTCTGCATCCTGTTTCTATGGTGGATTTTTCAGGCCCGAGGCCAGACAGAAGTTAGCCCTTTGTGGGTGTACTGAATGGTAGAGTTCAGGGCTGGGGGAGTGTTTGTGTGTGACTGTGTGTGCTCTTTTGCATAATCGTGCTTATTCCTTCAACGGCATTCACAATCTTGCATTCATTCAGTTATTTTGACAGATCTGTTCAAACTGAGTGCTGCGCATTGGGGAGATTCCTAAATCCTCCCTTTCCCTCTCTTCCTGCTCTTAGGTCAGCGACTTCCTGTCTGGCCGTTCTCCTTTGACCCTGGCCCTTCGAGTAGGCGATCACATGATGTTTGTCCAGCTGCAGTTGGCAGCGCAGCACTCGGGCAGCCAGCAGTTGCAGCACCAGCACCTCATTTCACGTGGGACCTCAGAAGGCACGACGGGACACTCGGCAGGGGCCGTGGGTTCTGCTGCTCGAGTCTCGCACAGCCCCCATCCACACCCACACCTGCACCCACACCCACATCAACACACTCACCCCCACCATCGGCACACAACACTCCCACCCAGCCCTGCAGCCTTTACTCCCTCCCCTTCTGGCCACTCTGTGCCCCTCATGTACCCCACCTCAGCCTCCAGACACTGCAGTACCCCGCCCTGTCCCTCACCTCTACCGGATGGCCTCCTCCGCTCCCAGCAGCCCCCATCAGCCTGCCCCAGCTCCCCGAGCAGCCCCAGCCCTGCTGCCCCCTGTCCAGAGGTAAGGCTCAATCCTTTCTGTCCAAATCCCGCAAGATTATTATGGATCATAGGATTAAATAGACTGTGAGATAGAGACAGGCTTTTTACCATCTGCCGATGTCCTCCACAGGCAAACTGCACTGCTAAGACTGCCAGCAACTGCAATGCTCCCTCGCGCTCCCGCAAACCAGGTGCTATCATCGAAAGCTTTGTCAACCACGCTCCGGGAGTTTTCTCTGGAACATTTTCAGGTATTCCGAGCAGCTAGTATTTCTGAGCAAATTACCTTTTCTTCCTGTGCTGGAAAGGAGCAGTATGATGAAGGCCTAAACCCAGTTCCATTTCTTTTTGTTACTGACTTCCTCTCCACCCTTCTTAACTTTGTATCTGCGTCATACAGACATAATAGTGCTCACTTGCTGAAAAAAGTGTGGGGTGTGATACACCGAATGTAATAACCCACTTGAACACTTGCATACACAGAGTCAGACTGTCGCCCTAGTTGTTTACATGTTAGGTAGCTAACCAAACTAAACTTGATAATAGCCATGACACTTAAGCTGTTCTGCTATCAGGGTGAAGTAATAGAATATTAGTCAGGTAATAATTAGGTAATACAACGTTAGTTAGTGTTTAGTGTCAAGAGATTTCTTCTTCATGCAAGTCAAATCAAAGGTTGAAGGACTGTCTGTAGAAACATCTTTCTGGCCCTATCAGAATGCCCTTCAAGATGTAGATCGGGAAGTCTAAGTAGTGCCTTGCGTTCAAAATCAGAATTCAGGACAGGTTGTGACTTTTTGTGTCTGTGCCTTTTCTCTTCCTTCAGGCACTTTGCATCCAAACTGTCAAGACAGCAGCGGGCGCCCACGACGGGACATCAGCACCATCCTGCAGATCCTGAATGATCTCCTGAGTGCTACCCGCCACTACCAGGGCATGCCCGCATCCCTCACGCAGCTCCGCTACCAGACACAGTGCGGCAGTTCAGGCTCTCCAGCACCCTCACCCCCGCCTTCCCCTCCAGCAACGTCTGAACTTGCCGGCATCTCCTCTGAAGCTACCTCCATGCCCTCGGTGAACCAACCCTCCCTCCACCCCCTGGTCCAATGCCAGAGCCAGGTCCGAATGTGCAAGCCTCTTGGTGAGTAACATTTGTTTATCCGCTTCTTTTCTTTTGGGAATGTATTTAGTCGATGGGCATTTGAATGTGCCAAAAAGAAGTTCATATAAATATATATATGTATGTGTGTGTGTGTGTGTGTGTGTGTGTGTGTGTGTGTGTGTTATGTGAGTGAGCAACTGAAATATGGGCCTACACACAGGCCCTTAGGGTAAGGGTAAAGGCACTATTTGATAGAACAGCTTAAGTCTGGTGTTTGTGGTGCTGTAGAAGGTAAAGGAGAAGTAGAGTGAAGTGAATAGATGCCGCTATCTTGGGATTCCAATACCTTCCTTGGCAGACTTGTTCTGTTAGGCTTCAGTGGCTGCGTTCTGGCAGCAGCAGCAGGTCTGGCTTTGTTTCTGTGCTGATGGTGTCAGCTTTCCTCTAGGAGAGAATGAATGGGGGGGGGTGCGAGCTAGATAGTCAGCTAAGATCTTTCACGGGCGTGTGGCAGGTACCCTGCTTTGTCTCCAGAAACTGAATTACCTTTCTCCAGTGTATGAGGGGAAGAGAACACAGCTGCTGCCGTGCTTTCGGATAATGAAACAATGCTGTCTATTTACTGCTGAAAGCATAGCTGATTTCATTAACACTGTGAAAATGTGAAAAGTGAAAGAACCCCACTGATTATTTGAACAATACAATGATTTTTGATCTGTTTTGCAGGGGGTGGAGAATCCTCCATGCTTTTGTGATAATGCATAGTTGATCTGTGTGCTCGGTGCGCTCACCCCCTGCTTCTATCATCGGCCTTTGTTCCACTCCCACATTTCCAGTCAATGGACCATCCTACTGTTTCCACTCTGGCTGGCCAGCACTCAGGCCCCATCTGTAAAAGCCATCCAGGCACCACGAGCCAGGCCTCCTCAATGACGCCTTGTTTTCCTTTCGGTCTTTAAATAGAGAGATTTATACAAGAAACATGAGCTTGAAGAGAATGCTCATTGTGTTTGGAGGGCTGCAGGAAAGGAAAAAAAAACCTTACCAAGAGTCCATTCATAAAAAATTGTGTTTATAGCTGGCCAGTGGCTGCTCACTGATTAATTGGTGCTTCCTTTTGGAAAGTGGGGGGAGGGTAGTTCAGCAAAGAGTTGCTTTTTTTTGGCCTGTTAGTTTGTGCTTTCTTGGTCTGCTTTGGGGGACGTGGGCAGCAGGTGACCAAAAAGCCGACTCAGGCTTTGAGAGGCTTTATTTTCTCAGCATCTGGTGACTTTATGACAGTTATAGTTTTCACAGAAATCTGCTTCTGTTGGACTACAGGAATAGCTTGGGAGACAGACATCTAAGCATGTTCCACAGCTTCTGGGTAAACCCGGCTCCTGGAAATGTCACATACTTGCGCTGTCTCCATGAGGCCGTCACTTCTTCATCTACCTCTAGTATGTGTAAGCGTAGTCTGTGAATGAAGAAAGCAACTGATCCCCACACACACACCCCCCACCCCCACCCCATGATTTGATCAGACTTTCGGCTTGGACTGGCTGTGGCCTCCATGCGTGAGGAGGCCAGGGAGGGGGTAAGACTAGACTAGATTATGAGCCTCAGGAGGGGGAAGGTCACCTATGGAGAGGGTTTGGCGACTGGGAGCAAAAGTCCTGTGCTCAGTGGGGTCTCAGCACTCCCTGCCCAGTGCGGGCCTGCCCTTTTATTTGACCAGAGTGAGGAAATAGCTCAGCAGAACACCAGTCTGTTCCATTGCAGTACCACAGGGAGGGAGGGAGGGAGGGAGGGAAAGAAAGGAAAAGTGGTGAAAGAAATAAAGAGAGAACGAAAGGCAAAAAGACAGAACGAGATCCTGAAGGCTAAAATATTAGCTATTAGCTAGAGCTTTTAGTCCTTGTGTCCTTTGGCTGCAGAGCTCGAGAGAATCACTAAAGGGGGACCAAACTTAGTCTGAAACATGGCTGGGGGGGCAGGTGGTAGGGGGAGGAATGCCCTCCTCCTTCTTCTCCCCTCACTATCTGTCAGGTCAGGTTAGTTTAGTTTGGGCTCGGGAACAGAGAGCCTGGGTGGAGTTGTGTTTCAGACGAGCGAAAGAATGAGAGAGAGAGAGAGCGAGAGAGAGAGTAAGGGGGGACTGGGGTGGGGACTGCTCAAATTCCTCAAGTCACTCCTTTAATCCACCCAAAAGCAAATGCTCCCAGCTCCTGTGTACATTCTGCGGAACGTGAAATGTCAAAATCTCGGCTCTCTTTGTCCTTGGCTGCCCCTCGTTTAAACAGTACCATTGGTTTCTTTCCTGGAGCCCCAGCTTGCCACTTTTTGTAAATCTCTTTGTGCTTGAGTGCCCCAGGCCTCTCTCCCTGTCGCTATGGAGCTCTGACCTGCCCATGCCTGGCCGCAGTTCAATAATTCATTCCCTGGTGCAGCTATGCCATCAGTAAGTGTGTGTGTGAAGCCCCCCAGGCCGCCTGTTGGCTGCTGCGGGGCCGTAACTGAACCTGCCTCCCTTCCTGTTGGGCAGGGCTGTACAGAACCCCCTATCTGATGTTCTTTATTGCTCCCAGTATGCAAATAACAGTTATTTGAGATGCAGGCTCCCTGTGGGGTCATTGATGGCATCGCATCCAAGAGGGGCTGGAGATGGCGGGGCTGGTAAAAGCTCCCCTGGTTTAAAGCTCCAGATGGCTGAGCACAATGCCTGTCCTGTGCCGTGTAGCAGCTCCGAGCTTGCCTTTCCCCCCGAGGCAGAGCTGGCTTCTCTTCCAGCTCTCAAGGAACATGCTGCAGCTGGATCATGGCATAGTAGCGTGCTTTGATTTGAGAGCACAGCTGGGCATGTCCGTTAATGTATGGAAAGTCTGTAGGACTTTTTATTTATCTGTGCATTAAAGTAGCCTTGTTCATGTTGGCTTGCCATGGTCCTTACTGTAGTCTGTCCGATCAGTAGGGTTTGGTGAAAAGCTGTAGACATAGTTTCTGACGTGCTGTGTAGCAGTGATGTGCTGTGTAGCAGTGATGTGCTGCTGCGAAATCTCCCTTTGATGAGAGAGCTGTAACATCTCGACTCGAAAAGATCACAGAACTTTTTTTTTGAGGAAAACAAACAAGCAAGTCAAAGACAACTGTTAATTAAGCTAATCTTTAATGGATCAATGGAGGGGAGCTCACTGGTGCTGCTCAGCTGTTGTAGTGTGGGCTGCTTGACTGGGCTGAGATCACTGCTTACCCTCAAGTCTTCTGTAACTGACCCAATGCCTATAGCTGGGCCAGCTGCTTTATTGATTGCTTGAAAGTCCTTCTCTCTCTCTCTCTCTCTCTCTCTCGCTCACTTTCACCTTCCCCACCCACCCCCACTCTTTCCTCGTGTCTCCCTTCCATTTTCTTCCCTCACGTGGCGATCAGCACGAGGGCCTGGTGTAAATCCTTCTCCTTCAATGCAGCGATCAATACATTCTCATGCATCAGCCTCCTTGCCCAGATGCACAAGGCGAGCCGGAGTCTGTCCCCATTTCAAAACACGGTTCTGCCGTAAGAAAAAAGCCAAGCGGCGGCTTTTGTTAGAGAGCGGCTGCTACTTTGAGATTCCAGAGGGATTTCCAGTGTAATCTTTTCCAGCCTCTTGTTCTCTAGACTTGTTCTCATTTGCCTTTTTTTATGTCCCTCGGAGGCCCCTGTCGCAGCGCTGTTCTGGGGGAGGGGTGTGGGTGGTAGCGGGGGTAGGAATGGGGGTTGGAGAGGAAGGCCAGGTGTATATGTCATGTGCAGACTGAACAGCTGAACGGCTCCTCCCCCGCTTGCACGTGGCTTTGGGCACCAGCTTTGGGGTCTGCATTAGCGCTTAGTGCTCTGGGTTTGGTTTGTTTGCGTTGCGTGTAACTGAGGACACTGCAGCATACAGCTCACGCGGAGACAATGCAGCGTTGGCGTAGGGACTTAGCTAGGGCGGAGGAGGCTAGCGAGGGGGAGAGGGGAGGAGGGGGAGGCATTCTCTTCTCTCGACTTTTCGTGCCTCTTGTTGGTGACCTGCACCGCGTTCACTCATGATTTGCTGCTGGCAAAGATCACTCTGTTCCTGTCCTGCCCTCAAGCGCGTGTGTGCCCGAGTCTTTGCAAAAGGCAGGAGGTTTAAAAGCATGAAAAGCAGAAAGGGAAAGCAAGCATTTTTACTGCTCGCTCTTGCTTTTGTTCACGGTGTATCCCCGCTTCCCCTTCGCCCAGCCCCCACGCTTGCTGCCTGGCCTTTCTCCCCAAGGCTCTCTCTCTCTCTCTCTCTCTCTCTCCCTCTCTTTCCCTATCTTGTTCTCTCTCGCTCTTTCTATACACTTATGTCAGTTCGGGCAGTACTAAAAGAAGGCTGCAGGCTAGGCCAGCTCAACCACAGATAATAGCCCCTGCCGCCATAAACAGAGACTGGAGTCCTCCCTTTGGGCCACAGTGTTCTGCACACAGGCTCACTAATGATGTTAGCGAGCAAGTGAACATGCAGGTTAAGTCCTGTCCTCATTTCCCCAAAGCACAAGCTGTATGCTCCTGCCATCCTCCGCGGGTGGCAGAGTTGCAAGATGTAGACAAAACTAAACTAAAAAAATACCGTAACATTGTTGTCTATTAATATCGCAGTATACCGTAATGTTGCCAATATCCTGATAACCAATATATCATGCAGCCCTGTCAGGTACTGCCAGTCCATTTGGGAGGGCATCCCTGTCTCTAGCACCCATGTGTGGGAAAGGACACCGTCCAGAGCCGCAAATTCTCACAAAGAAGAAAAAAGCACGCAGTCAAACAAAAAAAGCTTGGCTCGGTCGGAAGGGGTCTCCCTGAGCTTCTTTGAGCCTATTGTGAGTGCGGTACAATACCTCTGCAGTGGCATGCCGTGCTCCGTGCTCCGTGCTCCTAATGAGCTTCTCTGGCCTTTTCTTTTTCTTTTTTTTTTTAGCTTTGTCCCTTGGAGCACATCAGCTTGCATGCAAAGTATGTGCATTTATTTCCTCCCCTTGCTTCTTGCAGTTATCACGGAGAGGCAAGCCTGACATGCTCAAGGGTGAGGGTGACTGCCCTACATTTGCGCCTGCAGCAGCAGCACTGGGACTACTGGGGAGGACACGTGAAGGAGAGAGCCAGGGAACAAATAGAAGCGCTGCTTTATTTTCTCTGCTCTTAGAAAAGGGGGAAGTTGATGGTAGCTCATGCGAGGGGGTACAGAGGGTCGGGTGGGGTGGGGTGGGGGGGGTGGCGGAGCAGAACAAAGGCCCAGTGCATCTCAGCATAGGCCGCAAACTACTTTCGGCCATATCGCTCATGTATGTACGCAGGCAGAATGAAGGGAGGTACTCATGCTCTACCTGGCACCCTCTTTTGTTTGTGCTCATGCCACATATGGCAGGTTTTAGTTGGAAGGAGAAGCGATGCAAAAATGCAGTGAAGCCTTTGTTTATACGGCCTGTCCTCTCGAGTGAATAGCTGATGGGGGAGCAATAGCAGTAGACAGGGCGGCATTTATTTTTTTTTTTTACGTGGAAGAATCATACCCCTTGATAAAAAAAGACACTAATTAAGTACAAAGGAAAATTGAACCCACACAATCTCCCGTTTTCAAGATGGGGCAGGAGATTGATTCGGGTTCTGCCACACATATCTGATCCCCACCCTTAGAATCTATCCAACTGGGGTAGAATGCCACAACATGGACCTTCCTATACTTTACCTCTCTTCCCCTCTTAAAGCAGACGTAGCGGGGGGGTGTATGTGCTGTGGGGCTCTCTTTAATCTGGGGGGGGTGGTTGGGTGGGTGATTACTCGTTCAATGAGCTTAGGCCAGGAAAAGGGTGGTGGGGGGATGAAGCCTGGCTTGCTTCGCTTACAATTTCCATTCGCTTGCATTTTCTATTGAAAGCCAATAGCCGTGTCCTCGCCTGGAGATGGATTGCCGCACTAGAGCTAAGGTTTAATCAATAGGTCTTTTTAATTTGCCATCGATCCATGTTAAAAGCTACTGCTGCTGCTGCTGCTGGTGTGTGTGTGAGGCAGACTGCATCCAATGAAAGATGGTCCATGCTTTGGATTATTGACATTCTACCCCTTTTATTTCATTATTTAATTCTGGGATAGATCCTAATGGAGCTAGCTAATAGATTGTGGTTGCTTTTTCCCCCACTTCCATCCTTCTGAATATATTTATAAATGAAATTAAGGTTGGGCAGAATAGTGCGGTCTGATGCTCAGGGAAGAGAAAACCCTGGAGGGTTTTTTCTCTCTTTTCCAATCGGCACATCAACAGCTAAAAAATGCAGTTAGTATTGCAACAGTGATAAGCATGGAAGAACCTGTGAAAGAAACACCAACATAGCTCTGTGGTGGAACCTGGGTAGTTGTCTCCTAGACCTCCTTGGAGATCTCAAGGTCACATCCGCCAGGACATTTTGATCAACGTGTTCTCCGATAAGCATTGTTAGAAAGGACATGGGGGGCCACAGCCTGAAACGCTTTATGCCGATATTAGATACTGCAAGCATGTGCAACTGTATGTGTCTGCAGAGAGAGAGAGATAGAGAAAGAAAGAGAGAGAGAGAAAGAGAAAGAAAGAGAGAGAGAGAGAGCCTCTGGAACAGATCACAGCTTGTCTCTTTAAAGCATATCAGCATCACGGCTCAAGCTCTGGTGTATTTATTCTGAGCCGTCACCTTAGCTAGCACTGCACAGGCTCAGCTGAGACATGCTGAAGCTTCACTTCCCAAACACTGCGGCTGTGTCTCAAATTGAGGACTTTCATAAAGCACTAGCCACTTTTAGCAAGTTGCACACTCACATTGGGAAATGCTAAAGAGGTTTAGTGCACTGTTTGTACAGGGTGATGCGCTAGAACCGCTGGAAAAATGAAGTGCGGAATATTGCACGCTGTTTGCACTTAGTGGTCGCAAGCTGTCATATGTAGAGGAAGGGGAGGGGCCATGAGAGGAAGCTGCAGGGTGGCTGACACACCAAGTGAGACCGCCAACACAAATTTGGAGCGATAAGTTTAGATTTAAGTTAAAAATAAGTGGTTATTTGTCTTGAGGCTGTTCAGGTGGGATCTGATACCTTGAGGTCACCAACTCTGCTGGAGATCAACCTTCTGGCAGGTTTCGCTTTCAACCCAAATATAACAAGGCAGTAATTAGATGAATCAGGTTAGGTGGAGTAGGGTGGAGCTAAAGTCTGCAGAAAGGCTGTCCAGGAGCAGGGCTGGTGACCACTGGTGTAGAGCCACAAAAATAGTGCATAGTGCACCCCTTAAACTCAAAGGGCTCAAATGTGGTTGGGCAACACGCTGCACATAACTTGAATGTTAAATAACAGCATACGATAATTCTTAGTAGTTACCTGAAGGATCATTCTGTAGTGTGTAAACATTCACTCCCCATATGGAAACTAAATTGCAAACACAGCCTATGTTGAATTTATTGCTTCACAAAAAAACAACATATTTATACATATCCACCTTTTCAACCTACAGCAGATGCCCATTTACACTGAAGTTATAAGGAGTGTTTCAGGTCGGACTGCTTTTTAAATGAGGCACAATACATGATAACCAATCAGAACAGAGCTCGTAAACATGTATCAGCCTTGAAGGCGTATTAACAAAAACAGCCTATATATTTCTAGTGGATAAAAAGAGTTTAGAAAAAAAGAGTGTAAAATGATGTTTTTGTATGATTTACGTTTTTGGTAAGTGAACAAGCCCAGGTGGGCGATTCAGAACTGCAGAAATGCTGGTGTTTCAGGTCCAGAATTGTTCTAGCGGTCCCACATTTTGGTCCACCTCGTAGAGCTTCAGATGCCTTTATGTTGCATGACAGTTGTTTGTGCAGACCATGTCTCTAATTCCACCTCTTTCTTCCTATTTCCAGGTGACCGGCTGCGGCAGACGGAGAACCGGGCCACGCGCTGCAAGGTGGAGCGTCTGCAGCTGCTCATGCAGCAGAAGCGTCTGCGCAGGAAGGCAAGGAGGGACTCCCGTGCCCCCTACCCCTGGCTGCCCAACCGCAAGGCCGGCCGCAGCAACAGCAACAGCAGCATGTCCAGCGAGGGCTCCCTGGACCTGGACTTTGACGACTCTGTGTGGAAGCCGGACGTCAAGGCCGACATGAAGTCGGAGTTCATCATGGCCTGAAACGGAAGCGGAGGGCGCGTCGTCTTAATGGAGGAGGGAGACGAGCCGACAGAGTATAGGGTGTTGTGTACAGGAAGGGGAACCGTGTGAAACTTCAGCCTGGTGACGACTGAGAAAAATTCAAAGCATTGTATGCTTCCCTTCAACCACAGACTTGTTTCACAAAGGAAGTTAAACTGACATTTTACCGTAATGTCCCCGTCAGCGTATCATTAAGGAGATGGACCGAATTTCAGGTTGATTACGCGGTGGACTTGGATTAGACTGATAACCGCGGAGGACGCAGATGCACACTGTCACAAGAAGAAAAAAAAAACGCAAGAAATGAGCATAGCAGACTTTAATGGTGTTGGGGTTTTTTTCTTAATTTTTTTTTTCTTTTTCCTTTCCAAAGGAGAACACGGGGCAAACGCAGCTACCACGAATCCAGAAAACTTCACTGGTCTTGCTGCCACCTAATTTTATTTTCTTTCCCACAGGGGCATTTAAAACAATTTTAGGAGCCATGAAGCAGATCTCAAATGGGTGGGGTTATTTCTTTTGTTTATGCTTTTTATTACTATTAATCAATTTACTATTTTTGAAAAAAAAAAAAAGAAAAAATATGTAGCATTACCCACATAGCATTCAGGTTTTTGATCTTATGGACGAGGAGGTTTTATTTGCACATATCTTTTGATTTACAAAACTAAGAAATGGTACAATGCATGTTCAACAACGCAAATGCTTCTTAAATGCAGCTCGGTGTAGTGACAGAGGTTTAAAGTTGGATTTATTCTCAGAAAACAGAAATAAAAAACACCAAAAACAAGAAACAAAATATGATGAACTGTAAAGTCAGTCAGTTTATATACATATAAATATATATATATACATATATATATTTTCCTTTTTAACATGATACTTTAAAAAATAGTTACTGAATATGGCTTGGGTGAAGCCCTGAAATAAATTGTGTAAGTCGTATAGCTATCTAAACACAGAGTTCCTTTCAGTTTGTCCTCATATCTGTGAAGAAAAAGGTACATTTTAGCATAGAGTCCATTAAAATAGCTCATTCTGGCAAGGCTTTTATTCGTTTCTCGGAAACGATCAGGAAGATACTGATTAACAAACTTTGGACCCCATCCTTCCCCATGATAACTACCCTGTCTTATCTACGCGATGCTAGTCTCTCGAGCAAACCTTTTGCAAATTGTTCTTAAATTGCCCTTATTTAGGCCCCTCAGCCTGTCTCTTAGATCAAGAAAGAGAACAATAGGCCTGCAGTCGCCATCTTCACCTACTCGATAGTGCCTCACTGGTAGATGCACTAACATCCAATTAGGCCTTCCACAGACCCGACAGTTCTGCTGCTAAGTGGGACTTTACTTTGCATGCAAATGTGTGAATTAGCCTCACCTTTTTGTAGGAGGAAAAAAAAAAAAACGACAGAACGAGAGAAACCGGTGCTTAAAAGAAAAAAAAAATGCATGCATTTCTGAGGAAAAAAAAGAAAAGAGTTGCTCAGCTGACTAGGATTTCCTAATTAGAGATGACATTACATATCAGTGGCGAAACAAACCATGTGGCAGGCCTTTTTTGTTTGTGTTGGTCGTTTTTTTTTACACAGTGTTCACGGAGCATTCCTGGACTGTGATGAGCTTAGAGCAACTGAACTTTTTCTGCACCCAGCAAAAAGGGGTCCACAGAGCTAAACAGCATGCCCCAGGACGTTGGACCAGTGTCTGCCCCTACTGACTTAAAACTGTACTCAAGAATTTGTAAAAAAAAACAAAAAAAACGAACGAAAGGAAAAGTGAAAAGAAGAACACGATTGCACTCACTGAGTTTGCAATGAGATTACTTGCCTAAAGGGGAACCTAGTCTTTTTTTTTTTTTCTTTTCAAGTGGCCTTAACTTTCACAATGAGACACTTGGGGACTGGGGGACTAGATAGGGATGTTCCATTTTTTTGCTGTTGTCAATATTCTTGATTTGTTTTTTGTTTTTTTGCCAAAACATCATCATTTTCTCCAATTATTTGGGCAACTCTTTGCATTTCTTAAAGGTGGAAGCTCTAATATGTCAAGGCTTCTGTGCCTTAAAAAATTGCCCTTCAGTGATCGAGGAAAAAAAAGTTCTTCAGTATCATACGAGTTCTGGTAGAATAATAATAATAATAATAATATATTTTTTGCAAGTATTCAGCACTACCTGGATATAGAGGAATGGCTTCAGGTCTCCATACTTTGTTGTAAAATCCTTTAAACCCTAATCTGTCCTACCGCCAAGAAGCTGAAAAGCAACAAATTTACAAATCAATTGTAAAGAAAGAAAGAAATAAAATGAAAATTAGTGAGGAAGGTTCCGCTGTAGTGCTACAGCTAAAAAGTGCCCTGACTCTGAACGTCCTTTAAGGACAGGTTACTACATGCACTTCCTCCCTCCTTCGATAAAAGATTTCAAAGGACAAACCCCTCCCCTCATCTCCACCCTGACCCCCACCCAAACATTTTTTTAATTTCCATATATGTATGAAATATACTCTGTGTGTGCCTCACCTATATGTGAAATGAGAAAAAAAAGAAGAAAAATGAAAAAAAAAATGAGTTTGAGAGCGGGACGTTTTAAGGGGTGGGGTGGGGCAGGGGGGCGTTTACAATACAGTTTGTTGAAGTTCACATCATTTGAGTTGCCTGTTCTTTCTTGTAGCCAACAATTAAAGATAATAACAAGAGTCAAAAATACAATGTTCTAGCTATAGACCGGTGTAGCACATGTGTGACTGTATTAATTTATAAAAAACCAAAATGGTAACTGTGAATTATGTATTTCTTTGTGCATTTTTTTAAAAAGTGGGAGAAGGCGAAGAAGGGGCATGGCTATGCCCCCCTGTTTTTGTTTTTGTGGAATATAATGGAAATAACCAAGTAAAAAAAAAAACAAAACAAAAGAAAATATCTAAATATATTTTTTTCTTAAGCAATACATTTCAGTGTGACTTGTGATAGGACATTTTCTTTTTTAGGTAATAAATTGGAAGAAAACAGCTTTATTGTCTGTGTCATTCATTATTATGATATAACCCCAACCTGGGGCTTCGTGCTGGCATTGCAGGGGGCTAATGGAATCGCAGAGGGTTAATGAACGTGTGATGAAATGATGTCACTGTCAAATAAAATTACATTTGAAAAATATTTGTTTCACGAGCAAAAAATCGGAATGTAACATTTTATTTTGACCTCATCTGTTCAAAAATTGACGCAAGTATAATATTTACATTCAGTAATGATATATAATTAATCCTGTCGTGATGAAATATTGTAACCATGCAACATTATTTTAATGTAGATTACAGTTAACAACTAGCTGGTTAAGTCATTCTTCATAACTAAAACATCTTAATCATTGTAAGTGTGCGATGTGTTTGGAGCATCTTTCTAATCACAGTATGAAGGCAGCTTTCTTATAAATACATTTGGAAACTGAAGATGCAAACCTGGCTGCAAAACCATTTTATTAAACAAAAATTGTTTCATTTAAAGGGAAATTGCACAAATTTTTCAAGATTTCTGCACAATTAACTTCCAGAGAAGTTTGATGTGAAATGCTGTGTTCTAGAGAAACGTACCAAATCAGCATTGTTCACACTGGTGGAGATGGAAGCCAGACGTCTGAGGAGTTTGGTGTCTCTATTAGCTTCTTCACAGGTGTTTTTCTACGCAAATTGCTTGTGAATACGATGCATGATGCCTTAGTTTTCAGAGAGTTTTGGCCTAAAAACATATTTTGTAAAATGCCTTCATAGTGGAGGGATACCTGCAGGGTGTTGTAAGGCAAATAGGCCCCATAGAAAAGATTTACCATCTTACCATCATCAACATCACATATAAAAAACTCCGAAGACATGTGTAGGTGAAGATATCATGACCCCTGGTTCCTGTCACCACCACTGTAAGGAAAGTTGGAACGTTTCTCTACAATGAACCACTTCACATCAAACCACTCTGAATGACTTAGTTTACATCTCAACGATAGAATTAAATAGATATTTTGAAAAATCTCCCATTTACTGTTAGTCTTCTTAAAATCTCAAGCATATAAGTCAAATAATAGACTGAAGGGGTTCAGCTGGCACAGAAGTTGGAATTAGAATAGGAATATTTAGATGTTTAGGCAGAAACCTATAAGCAACATGATCTAAAACCTAAAGAATCCTGCGGTAAGCAGATAAGAGAGATATACGGCATGTATTCTCTTGTTTAGACTTGTACTAATAGTGGAATCCTATGGAGCCATTTTTAGAAGTAAAAGCATTTTCCATTATAGATAAGAACCATGCCCTAGATACTGAACCATGCAAAGAACCATTCATGCATTCAAATGTTTCTTTGAGTTACTATGATCACTGGCTTCACTAAAGAACCCTTAATGAACCCCCCTTTTTGGGGTTTAAATGAAACACTATACTGAATGCAACACTGTTTGTGTAATCTGGGACCAAATGCATCTACCACCATGTTGCTGTTCTCCACATCTCCGGTGTTGTCCTCATTTCCATCCATTCTTCTGAACCAAGCCCTTCGGAGTGTGTGATCAGAGGGAGCGAGCAGGACGCCGCGGTCACACACACTGCCCTGCGCCATCTCCGTGCGGCTGCACAGCTGTATGGAGATGATGAAAGGTGGTATGAAAGCGGACGTGGCTGCTGCTGGCTCCGCAGCAGGGGGGCCGGATCAGAGCCAGGCTCTGGGGGGGGGGATGCTCACGGAGAGTCCAACGTTCTCCCCCCATCTGTCAGCCCGCCCGCCCGCTCTCCCACTGCAGGAGAAAACACAAGACAAGCTGACAGATCGGGGATGAGCTCAGGGTTTGAGCTCCAGTTAGTGCAGCGGGCTAAGGGCTGCTTTAAAGCACGCTTAGCAGAGCTGGAGAAACACTTCAAGTGATGGTTTGAGCAAAAATCAAATTCACACAATTTCCTTCTTAATCCAAATGTGGTCAAACAGCCAACACACTTCGGTTGGTTTGGTTGCTGGAGTTTCTCTAGCTTTGTACTGGAGCTAATGTAGCTAACAAGTAATGGAAGCTCATAGCTTCTCATTAGCATCATGCGTCATCGCACACTTGCCTCAAACCACGTCAACTTGTAATCTCAGACTTGCTCGTGTGGTTTCTGACACTGTAAAAACGGACAAAGGTACACAGCTAGAGTTGACACCTTAGCCCTTGACAAAAGTCCCGGACCCCTGCTTGATTTTGCTAAATTTAGTGAATGGCTAGCTGTGCGTACATTGCTATACATGGTACCCTGCTTAAAAAGCCCATTAGAACAATTAGACTTAAAATCTGATGGTTTTGCTTTCTAACAGAAATTGGTTGCCTTTAGAGACCACTAGTTTCCTGTAGGGCACCTTTTGATTCTATTAGGAAACCATCAAATGCATCTGGAATCTGTCCCAGAACATCTGTTAAACCATTAGAATCTTTTACACTGTAATATCAGCCCATCAAGAAATGGCAAAATTACTAGGAAGCAATAGAAACCTTTAGGTGTGGTTAATGGTTTGTAACTTTTTCAGCGGGGTAGATAGATATCAGATCAGCTACAAAACCTAATCTTCACAGTTAGCATGCTGTAATGCTGCCTAGCACCAAATTGTTTGATTAGATTAAAAAATCCTAAGAAATGCTGACATAAAAATGGATTCTGAGACATCGCGTGTGTGAAAGAAAGATTTTATCCTTTTCAGAGAAGCACGGTCAAGGACGATCCAGTAAACAGTGGCAACTCTGTTAGCATAGCTAAAAACAGTATTAGCAGTCACCTTAAAGCTTAAAGTTGGACTGTAATTTGGTCCATTTTTATAGAAAACAGTATGTCATCCAGTGTCAAACCACATTAAAATTCAGCACAGTCTGAGGCAAGGGCGTTATGATTCAGACATGCTAATTTGTGGCCTAAAAGTTTCCATTAGTTGCTACATTAGCCTCTTAGCTTCAGTGCACAAATAAGACTTCAAACAATGATCACCTACATTTGTTCATTCATTTCTGGCTGAAACATCACTTTCAGTCTCCAGGTTTCTCAGAGGCTCAGGACAGAAGAGGGAAAAGTTCTGTGAAGGCAGAGGAGTAGGGGAGTTTAAAGAAAAACACTCATGTTGCACTAATAACAGGGAAAGAGAGATAATTAGGGGTTGAAGTTTGAGATGGTGGAAGCCTTCGCCGCCAATCACACGGTGCGCTCACGGTAAATCCTAACTAACAAGCCAGATCGTGCAAACATTTCACTCAGCCGGAAAACGATCCTTTTGAGTCGCCCTACGTCTGAGACAGAGCGCTAATGTGCTAATGCATGCTAAAGAAAACATTTGCTATGATGTGCACAGTATGTTCCCATCTTTTGACTCTGTTTGAATTCTGAAAGAAATTTTCCCATTACACAACGTTGTATACACAGTGATTCCTTTTACCTGGTCGGTAAGTCAGGCGTGTACAAAGAACAGAAATCATGGAGGCAATTAAGTCATTTACAAGTGGGGCGTGTAATCAAAAGTGAGAAATAGGGAAAAAAAAAACTAAATCTTGAGAAACGTGGTGGAAATCTTGGGCACTGGTGTTTATGACTATAGCGAAAGAAAGCTAATAAGAAGCTGACAGCCACCAATTAGTGGACAAAAGTACAGAATGTTGATACTGTATTTAGCTTTGCGGCACAGTAGATAACAGTGTGTCATTCAGTGTCAGAGACCACATAAACAAGTCTATTTGAGATTTAACCCCTTAAAATCTCTGACTTATTACATACTAAGGCTTATTATTCAGTAACTACACAGACTGAAATGCAAACTAGCTGAGCTTTTGTAAGGTTATAGAAGTGTGTAGTAAACCTTTGCGCCCACCAACAGGTCCTTGTCATTTAAGGGGTTAAATAAGGGTTCTTCAGTGTTTTTTTAGTAAGGGCAGTCAGAACTTACAGTCAATGTGAACTGGAAATCAGTGCATTTTCCTTTCGTACTGTGACATATTTCTGCGTAAAACATGGCATTAGTGAGGGTCTCTGATCTCACTGAAAGTTTTCTGTGTATGAGAGGTGGTTGTAGGGGGACAGAGAGGTAAAACATATTATCACTGTTTAACATTACTCCCCGCCCACTGGTGCACGGTGGCATAGCCGTAACTTAGGAAACAGTTTGGAGGCGTGCAAAAGTCATGACATTTGATGGAAAATATGGGCAAAAGAGGAACTTTGTCTCTTAAATGAAACGATAAGATGAATCGTGTTTAATATGACTAAGGACACCAACTAACAAAGAAAAAAACAGCGGTTTTGCTTTCAGCTTGACTAAAATTTAAATGGTATTTTGCATGTTTAAAACAGCAGTCCATGATGGAGAACCTGTTGTGCACAGTTCTTTAAAGAGCTTTTTCCAAAAAGTCTGCATATCGTTGAGATGGAACAAAAAGTCAGTCAGAGTGGTTTAATGTGAAATTGCATTGTAGAGAAACTTAGTGGCAGCCTTTTTGTTTACTGACTCCACTTACTTATTTACAGCACTTTACAGTGGTGGTGATAGGAACCAGAGGTCTTAATGTCTACAGAGCAAATATAGCCATTTTATTTACTAATCAAAATGACCAGTGAACCTACGTGTCTTCTGAGTATTAACATGTAATGCTGATAATGGTGAAATAGTGGTAAATCTGAAAAAGTGTGTTTTTTTAGGTACTATTTTGCCTTAGAACACCCTGCATGTACATCTCCACTATGAATGGATTGTGTTTTAGACAAAAATCTTGTTCCAAAACTATCACAAGACAATGTCTCATGCCTCAGGCGTTGCATTCCCAACTTTTTCAGTTAACAGCTTTCTGTGAGAGAGTTTTTAGAGATATTAAACTCTTCAGACGTCCACTACTGTTGCCAAGGACTTGGTAACTTTCTCCAGAACGGAGCATTTCGCACCAAACCACTCTCAATGACTTTGTTTACATTATGATGTTTAAATTCCACCGAATTTTCCGCAATTGTTACACAACACAGAA